AATATGTTCATGGAGTGATGTATAAATACTGTATCTTTTGACGTCACTCGCTAGTTTATAAAAGTTTTAAATTATCTGTCCCATGTAGGTCTTCACAACTCAATGGACTACATATATTTTGTATATTTGCTTCCACAGCCCCTAACTATATGTTATTCTATTCAGAGGCCTTTGGTAATCCAAGGATTACTGGCCGGTTACGATGCTAAACCTATAAGGGCGGGTTTTGGGTCGTGACACATTGCTTTTGGTTACTGGCCACCAATGTGTTTTACAAATATTTTTCTGCCAATTGTGCCAGCTGTTGGCATAGATGCATGCACCTTCCTACACATGTACGTATTGATATTTCTGAGGGATTTACTTGGTTTTCTATATATAGGAGGCCTCCCCTACTATTTTTAAGGTTGGAATTTTTAGAGCAAAAATTCTCTCTCTTTCTTTCACAATTTCTTAGCTTTTTGCAAGCTTTTGCCTATACACTCTTAACCAAACCTCTCCATCTTTGAGTTGAGGTACCTTTGAGCCTTGTTTGAGCTCTTAAGGGTGTGTTTGCCTTGTGTTATTGCCTAGAATTGGTTCTTCTCTTCAAGAAATATAAAGCTTTGCTTCTCTACTTGCTTTATTTACCTTTTTTCTTATTGTTTTCCAACTGTTTTTGGGTTGTATAAACTCTGTATTTTTGGGCTGAAACTTGTAGTTCAAAGCCAATAAGGGTTGAGGGGTGGTTCACCTTTCTTTACACCTTACTTTCAAGGCCTTTACCCCTTGTGTTTCCCACCTTTACACTATCTTTTTTTTTAGTTTTTAAACACTGATTTTTAGAGTTATTTCAATGGCTAAAATGTTATTTTGAAGTCCAAAATTGGAAGGGTTAGCCTCCCCTCCTTATGTTTTGCTTACTAGCCTAGCATGATCTATGTTTTAGCTTATTGTTTTAGCTATTTTTATCTTAATTCCAGCATATTTTAGGACTTATTTAGCACTGTATTAGGGCTTTTTTTAAGTGTTCATTGCATTTAAGCCTTATATTGCATGCTTGTAGTATAATTGTCCTCATAAGTTTAGTGTTTTAGGCCTTAGCCATTACCTTATTTGAGTTGATTGCATTTATTTAAGTGTTTTTCTTACTTGTTCTCACCTTAATTACCTCTGCAACCTCCATCCTTTCTTGGATTTTTCTTTACTTTGAAAGTGGTTTCAAATTATTTATTTGTTTAAACATGAGATTGAGGTGTTATGCTTAATGGTTTAATCCCTTTGGGGATTCATTACCAACGGTATGATGTCTTTTTCATACCCAAAGCAACACTTGGTTTGAGCTCTCTTTCTATTAAAGGACTTAAAATTCACTTGTGGACTTAATTGATTAAAGAATTGAAAGGTAACTAAAATGGAGTAATAAAATTGGTGAATAGAAAAGAAGGAAGATATTAATTTGGTTTGGGTTCAATCGGACATTAATTGAACTCTTGAGTCTTGAGTCGTTTCATACTCATTAGTGATGAAAACGGTTCAAGATTTATTGTCAACTACTTCCCTTGATCATTCATGATAAGGAGGCGGTTTTAAGAGTCTTATTTTGTTGCATTTATTGAACTTGCACACTTTGGTTCATAGGCTATCATGCAATGAAATTGCATAGATTGATGGTTTGTGAATCAAGTTTTACTACTCCTTTAAGCTGTTCAAATGATAAGGAGGGGTAAATTGTACAAACAAACCCTTGAGAATGCCCTGTCCCTGCTTTGTTTTGCTCTTTGTTGCAACAGGACAATCCAGTCATCAGTGGTCGGCAGACCATTATTTATGGTCGGCAGGCTACCTTAAGTGGCCAGCAAGCCACCATCAGTGGACGGCAAGCCATCTGCCGGCCACCTGTGCAAAATCTAGCAATGTACTTTTGAAGCAGAACATAATTGGTCTTGAGGTGGAAAATAGTGTGAGTGTTCTACTGTGCAACAGAGGCATCTAGCAGCAGAAACAATGTCTTTTTTGGGTGGAAAGTCCGTGCATGCATGAGCATTCCTCGTTTCCCGAGGCAGAGTAATTAGAATAGCTAGCTTAGCACTCTTTTCATGTTGTATTCATGTAAATAATTAGTTAATTTATTGTAATAATTAATTAGTTAGAATAGTTAATTAATTTGTTATAATAATTAGTTAAGTAGTTTAGCTAAATTATTCATTTGGGTTTGTAATAATTAATTAATTAGCTTAGCTTTAATTAGTTAACTAGTTAGTTCATTCGGACGCTCCTGCATGAGGGCGTGCAAATGTTATAATAACGTGTATGTCTTCCAACCCTACGTCTTTTCCCTTTTATTCACTAGTTTGCGATGGTTAGTTTAGGTCATCATGTTCTGTTTAGCATCTTTCATGTTTATATCCACTTGTATTTCATGCACCGAGGCTCGGTTCATCATTCTAACTTGCATTGTTAGTTTAATGTTTCTTTGAATACGTATTTAGACCACATGCTATCAAATTGCTTCATATGCTATATTAGTAGTCGAGCCTAGTAATTGCATATCACGTGCGTTGCATTAGTCATATTGCATTAGTTAGGATCATGCATTGTTCTAACTCTTTTATCTATTTTTGGCTTGGAGTACTAGGTGAGCCTTTACTCGCTTTAGCATAATCGCATGCGTGTGATTGTTTGCCATGTTTAGAATGCTTGCCATAACGCTAATTGCTTAAATGATAAACTGTTTGAATGCCTGTGGATGAAGACTAATTGTTTGAATTGGAATAATTTGAGTAATGTTCATATACAATCACTTTTTCAAGTGGTACATATTCGAAACAATTTTCCAAACAAACATGAAATCAAATGTCCCAATTTTTGCAAATTAGTCTATACTTGTGTGCGCATCACATAGTAAGTTAGCCTAATAATCGGAATAAGAGCATATAATATAAATAAGATTCACATCATGATTAGTAGAGGTCGATCTTTGATTGAGCGAGCGGGGGTGCTTAATTCATGACCTTCCTTTCTCATACCTAAGTTCCCGAGCCGAGACAATCTTGGTGATAACAGACATGTGGCCTTTGGCACAAGTCATGGATTTTCTAAATTTCTCAAAAATATTTAGGTGGCGACTTTGTATTTAGCAAAGCAGTCAATTTTTAGCAATTTGATTGAAAATTGATTTTCTAAAAGATTTACCGAATTTGGATTCTTTGGTGATTATCTATTTCACATTGCACTTGTGAGATTAGATTCAAAACCACATGAGTCATATACTGTAGGGCTTATTCGTCTTCCGAAATGGGACACGAATAGCAGAGCTACAGTGAGGTCCATGAAGGCCGTTGGAGCATTTGTGACGCCAAATAGCATAACGAGAAACTCTTGGTGCCCGTAACGGGTTCTGAAGGTAGTCTTTTCGATGCTTTCCATTTTGGCTTTTAGTTGATGGTAACCAGAACACAAGTTGATTTTTGAGAATACTTGGGGGCCTTGAAGTTGATCGAACAAGTCATCGATTCATGGAAGAGGGTACCGATTCTTGATGGTGACCTTGTTCAGCTCCCAGTAATCGATACATAATCTTATCGTGCCATCATTTTTCTTCACGAACAATACTGGAGCTCCCCAGGGCAAGGTACTAGGTCGAATGAAGCCTTTGTCCAGTAGTTCCTAGAATTGAGTCTTCAATTATTTCAATGTCGTCATTGACCTGTAGTAAAGGGCTTTTGATATTGGTTAGGTACCAGGTTGAGTTTCAATGGTGAATTCGATTTTTCGGTCAGCTGGGGTACCAGGTAGGTCTTTGGAAAAGACATCTGGGAATTCTCGAACCATGGGAATTGCATCAATAGTGGGGGCTTCTTTTTGTGTATCGATCACATAATAAATATAACCACAATAACCCTTTCTTAGAAGTCGTTGGGCTATCATGGAGGATATAAGACAGGGAGGGTTGGAAACTCCAGTCCCATCAAAGACAAGCTCGAGTTGGTTTGGTAACCTGAGGGAGACCCTTTTTGCCTTTACAATCAATAGAGGCATGGTTGGCAGCTAGCCAATCCATCCCTAAGATCACATCAAAGTTCCCAATGCGGAGGGAAATCAAGTCTACGTATAAGATTTTTCCTTTTAAGGATATAGTACATGATCTGTACACATCAGTACTACAAGCATAATTACTAGAAGGAAAAGACATAGACAATATATATCCTAAGGATTCGGGTGTTGATACCAGCTTGGTAGCAAAGTGTGGTGCAACAAAAGAATGAGTTGACCTAGAGTCAATGAGGACATGAGCTAAATGACCATAGACAGAAAGTATACCTGACACAACATTTTCGGTAACTTATGATTTTCCAGGTACTAAGGCAAAAGCCCTTCCTTGGCATTTTTGGTCATTCCTCTCTTCTTCAAGTCCTGCTGGTTTCCTGATTGGACCAGAAGGCCTGACTATAAGATTAATAAGCTTTAGACAATCCCTCAGCAAGTGACCAACTTGACTGTATTTAAAACATGCTCCCGTATCTCGATGGCATTGTCCCCAATGAGCCCTTCCACACGTAGGGCAAGTTGGAATGGTGCCACCTTTGGGGTTAGTAGAACCTTGATTATCTGAGCTGGTTGTGCCCGTATTCACCCTCTTAGGAGGTGCAACACCGGATCTTCTATTGTCTCTTTCCCAGAATCACTTCTTTTGGCTTGGTTCCCTAGAACGGGAGGCTTTAATTCCTTTTTCTGTAATGTATGCTCAGTCTACCACTTCTACATACGTTGGTAGTTTCAAAACCTCAAGCTTATCTTTGATTTCAGCATCCAATCCTGCTTCGAATTTCCTTGCTTTTCAAGCTGAGGTGGGGATGACATATGTCTCAAATCGAGCGAGTTGTGTGAACTTGCTCTCGTATTCGGCCACCGTCATGGTTCCTTACTTTAGATGTATAAATTCCGACGCCTTTTCACTACAAGAAAATTAGTTTATAACCACGCTTTTGTTGTGGCGTTTTTTCAAAAAACATCGTTTTAAAGGTTTTCAAAATATTTTTGTAAATAACTCATTTTAAAAAACACGCGTGTTTTGGTGTACGAACATATTTTCCCTTTTAAGACCCACGCGTTTTTCATTCTTCTATTCTATTTCACGCAGCAATTGATAGATCTAGGTTTTCTATCTCTTCATCACTCCTCTTTCTTATGTTGAAAGGTCACTAGATCGAGCTTCGTAGGCTCCGATTCACAATCTAGTTCTCTCCATCTTGGCTCAAAGCTCTCGATTAGTCCGATTTGAAGATTAATTTTGTGAGTCCTCTGATTTTTTGATTTTGTTTATATACAAACTCAGATCTACGATCTCAAATCTGTTTGATATATATATACTAATTTATGTCTATTGATCGCGATTGATTTTTATTCTATTAATCAAAAATCAATCAATCTCGATTGATTGATTTTTAATTTATTGATCACGATCGAACACTCTTCTCTGGATTTGATCGATTGATTGCTTTCGTTCAGATCTGTAAGTTTGAGTCCCTATGTGCATATTAACATCCTCAAACCGACTCTATTTCTGACTCGTTCGTGGTGATCTTTGTGTTTATGCTTTGTATGCAATTCTAGGGTTAGTCTATTGAGGCTAATCTCTATTGCGTTTGTATACAGAGTCACAGAACCACCATCACAACTATACTGTGTCAATCTTTGCAGCGATGTCAATCTTTGCGTTTGTGCTTGAACAGGTTTGGCTAGAACAGGTTTGTCATTGATTTATTGATTGAAAAGGAATTACATAATAAAATAGTTGATCTAGAACCTTGTTTGTCATTGTTCTTTTTCTTTAATTTAATTTATGGATAAATTATGCATACCACCTGTTTGCTAATATGCCTCTGAAAAATAGGAAACATAAAATCTGTCAGTTTCTGGTTGAATGTGAATTGTACATGTGTTAATTTCAGAACTGTGTTGCGTATAGTCACAATTGAGGCAAGGTTTTGGAACTGTGTTGCGTATAGTCACAATTGAGGCAAGGTTTTGGAGGCAGTTTCAATTTCAAGACTGCTATGTAGTTCCAAATCCCCCTCTCCTTTAGGTAAAATTCTCCTTGTTCAAACACATGTCTTTCTTTTATGTCATTTTTGTTACTAAATTCAACTCTGTTAATAGATAGTTTCAGTATTTCAAAGACAAGGTAAATGGTGATTGTCTGACTTATTTTTTATACTGAAGTAAATATTTTATCTGCAAACAAAAATGTGTTATAACTCGAAGTGTCTGTTTCAGTTTCTTGGAGGAAATCATCCTTGGAAGTGGTCAAAACTTTGTATTAGAGGTATTTATTTTAATCGTGTTAGAACTTTGTATGACTTATTGCATGAATGTTTTCAATACACGCGAGTATGATATGTCAAATAAATTATAAGGATGGGTTTTCTTTTGCTGAAGTGATCAAGAATATATATATTTTTCATTATTTGTGCATAAAGCAAATCCAATTATGGTCTTCTCCTAAGCTGAGTTATCAAAAGCTGCATGTTTACCAAATTCTGTTATTGGCTAATGATATTTTTCTTGCAGTGCTAGTTAACAATATTTTTACTTGAACTAGCCACTTGTTCTGTGCTCCTATTTTAGTAAACTAGTAGAATTTAACCATGTACAATCACATAATGACTAGTTTTCATATGGTATCTCCACTGCTTTGGCAATTAAGATTTCATTATAAAGCTGCCTTTAGTCTATACTTACAATTTTTAATGTGTTTTTTTGAACATGTTAAGAATCATTGATTAGAGGAAACGAAAACCTGTTGAGAAATGTTAACAATCCTTTCTACTTTTGTTTTGATGTTTCAAAGATATGTTGTTGCTGAGGACACTTAAGTTTAACTGAAGTTTAATATCTTCCAATGTAATAGTTTTTATTTATTATTTTTTTATAATACTGGAAACTGGTTATTAGACCATGGTATTTATCATTAATGTGCATATCTTTGCTGGAGCTTTTTCATAATGGTAATTTCTGTAGGGTTGTAACCCTTTAGGCATTCGAGGTTGAAGTTGGTAGTAATGATAAAGTGTTCCTGTTAAAGTTTGTGAATTACTAGATGCTGTTTCTGCGTATGGTATGATCAATTTTATATAAGATCACAACTTATCATTGAATAGGATTGAAGGTTGGTGTAGTTAACAATAAAGTGTTCCTATTAAGGTTTGTGAACAACTAGATGCTGTTTCTGCCTATGGCAGAGCCAAGATTTGAACACTTCATTCTTATATTAGCTGTGACAACAAATATGGAATGGGAGCATGTAGATATCTTTGAAAATGAGGGTGATGGGTGATTCCAGTATTGAAAGCAAAATATTTATTTACTTAAATAAGGCCTTCGCTCTCTTCGTTTTAAGGTACAAATTGGGTACTTATCTTCCAATGTCGGGAGCTCAATAGAGTTAAAGGTATTTTTGCTTTCACAACTAGTTTATACAAGAGAATTCATGAAGTTTTTTATTTTTTATTTTTGAAGTTAAAGTGATAGAATTTGCAAAAAAAAAAATTATTACTTATTATGATTTTATTTTGGTTTGTTTTACCCTGGATATCGTATAAACATAGAACATTGGGCACAAAATACATATTTACTGACACACAGTGTATGATGCTGACTTTCTGTTTTTTGTATGCGTACAATGTTTTTCCTAATTCTACTTTTGCCAATTGTCATCAACTTTTATAGAAATGTTTTACATATCTTTTTTATCTGTCTCATTGTTTATGAATCTTTAACCCACATTGCCCACTCAGATTGCATACATGTTTCACCACTATTCTAAAGTGGTTTCAGAAAATGTTGGATATAGAATTTCCATATGATTGATGGTTGCTAGTTTTGGATTGTCCATTTATAATGTTTAAACAATATCCAATTTTGGATGTAATTTTATTGGCAACTTTAAAAACTGTTTCCACTTTCTTATGTAATTACTTAGAATTTAGTAATAAGATTGTAAAAAAAGGTTTTTAATTAATGGGATATTATTTCTTCTGACCTACGACTGGATTTAGTTCATAGAGATAGTGGCATAAGTGGTAATCAGTTAACAAGATTTGTTGTGTAAGTTAGTTTTTGATTCTTCATGAAGTTGTTATAAATGCAACTTAGCATATGAAGTGTATTTAAGTTGAAGAACTTTCAATACTAGTAACTGATATGATTGCTTGCTGGAACACCATTTCTTATTTCAGATGTTGGAAATCTCATGGTTTCATACAACATTAGTTTCCTGTGACCCTCATCAAATTTCTCGAAATTCCTTGCAAATGCTAAGTATGATGTTATGTAACTGATAGCAGCTTTTGAATAAAAAAAAAGGTGAAGGATGGATAAAACTCTGCTAAAAGTGTGTGAGGGGTTTGTCTTGCACTGTCAATTATAATGGTAGAGATAAAATGGAGTTCAAGGTGGACTTTAGTTTAGAGTTCAGAAATAGTTGTTTAAGAGCAAGTCTTACATAGAATTAGACAGTGAGAGGATTGCTTGCTATGAAGATTAGAACCTTTTCTATTGTTAGAAGTTTTGGAGTGTTTTTTATTTTATTTTATTTTTTATGATGGGGATTTTGGTCAGTGATTTATGAACTGTTGAATTTTACATGATTAGCTCCGACTTTCAATCTTTTGATGGAAAGATACTAAATTTTAAAAATTTGCATTTCATGATGATAAATGGGATTTGACAGTTTGCTATGTTTTTTTGTACATCTGATGAATGGGATTGGGCAGTTTGCTTGTGCAATGAGCCTTTTCTTGATGTATGAGTTTCAAAATTTCTTCATTTCATTGTCTATTCTACCAGGCAAATGTTTGGCTATCTGGGTTCATATGTTGCATTTGCATTGTAATTAATTCATGAGCTGTCTAAAAGTGTTATTGTATGTTAACATGAATTATTACTCTATTATCAGTAACCACATTTTGATGGATCCTTTTGATATGCTATCTGTTGGCTTATAAAGACCTACCATCCACTACACGGCTGCTCTATGTGGCTATCTGGGTTCATATGTTGCCTTTGCACTGTAATTAATTCATGGAACTGTTTAAAAGTGTTATTGTATGTTAACATGAATTATTACTCTATTATCAGTAACCACATTTTGATGGATCCTTTTGATATGCTATCTGTTGGCTTGTAAAGACCTACCATCCACTACACAGCTGCTCTATGTACAAAGCTAGAGAAGTCGGTAGTCTTTATTACCTATTAGTTACTCATTAGTGAACTTTCTTTCGAATTTTTATCCCGTGCTTGCTCCTTATTGTTTTTATCTAACAATTAATTCATCCATATTAAACTGTGATAGAGGACATCACTTATATGTGTTCCTTGAAAATTCGGAATTCGGGTCATTATCTTCTAGCTAATGCTTTCATAGTTTAACCATGTTTTGCAAGTTAGTTGCTGCTCCAGATTATCAATGTGATAATTTGAACCGCTGTTCTAAAAATATTTTTAAAAATAGAATGATTTGTGAATGAAACTTACAGAGGGCTTATGATGCAAGCATATTCATGCATATTTACCTGATTTAATTTAATACAATTTGAACATGTTATGCAGATCGAAACTCATGACAATATGGCAAAATTTTTCCATGCAATTATCCAGTTTAACATCTTAATTGATTTTGATAGGGAAATGTGGGGCTACATATCTTTAGGTTACTTCAAGCAGGTGAACTTTCTGATATATTTGTGAATATGTTGCTACTGGTTTTCCTCTACTAGAACTTATGTTTTTTCAAGTTCAAATGTCAAGCAGATAACTAAGGCTGGTGAGATTGGGTCCTCGACTATGCCTCATAAAGTAAATCCCATTGATTTTGAAAATAGTGAGGGCAATCTTGGGAAGGCTAATGGAGGTCTATCCCATTTAAGCATAAAATTACCTATTTCTCGTTGGCGGGTAGAACTCTCTCTCTGACTTCTTTGCAAAGATATATGAAAGCTCCATTTTTAGTAAACATTGATTGGTAGTTTTTAGGCACCAAAAGTGCAGAATGTAAGATTATGTCACTGGGCAATTATGATTTCCTTACCATATTGCAGATCCAAGTCTGTATAAGCCAAGCCCAGTAAAAGGAAGGATTTTGCTAATTGTTAATAGTTTTGGTCATCTTATTTTAGTGGTGATAGAGTGAGACATGCTAGAAAGCATACTCAGCCAAATATAGTTTTTTTTTTCAATATTATATATTTTATAAAATTTAAAAGCATACTCAGCCAAAGGGATTTGTTTGGGCACAAATGAAACTGCTGCCTATACGTAAATGTTACGGTTACTTTTCTCTGTGGACTAGGTAAATGTTACAGTTACTTTTCATGGGTTGGAATTAGGTGCATGCATGTTATTTTGTAGATAATAAAAGTAAATGGTGATTTTTGCGGGGCTTAATAAAAGTAAATGGTCATTGGCTAATAAAAGAATGCTGATTAAAGTTTGAAGGATACTTATGTTTTTTCAAGTTCAAATGTCAAGTAGATAACTAAGGCTGGTGAGATTGGGTCCTCGACTATGCCTCATAAAGTAAATCCCATTGATTTTGAAAATAGTGAGGGCAATCTTGGGAAGGCTAATGGAGGTCTATCCCATTTAAGCATAAAATTACCTATTTCTCATTGGCGGGTAGAACTCTCTCTCTGACTTCTTTGCAAAGATATATGAAAGCTCCATTTTTAGTAAACATTGATTGGTAGTTTTTAGGCACCAAAAGTGCAGAATGTAAGATTATGTCACTGGGCAATTATGATTTCCTTACCATATTGCAGATCTAAGTCTATATATGCCAAGCCCAGTAAAAGGAAGGATTTTGCTAGATGTTAATAGCTTTGGTCATCTAATTTTAGTGGTGATAGAGTGAGACATGCTAGAAAGCATACTCAGCCAAATATAGTTTTTTTTTTTTTAATATTATATATTTTATAAAATTTAAAAGCATACTCAGCCAAAGGGATTTGTTTGGGCACAAATGAAACTGCTGCCTATACGTAAATGTTACGGTTACTTTTCTCTGTGGACTAGGTAAATGTTACAGTTACTTTTCATGGGTTGGAATTAGGTGCATGCATGTTATTTTGTAGATAATAAAAGTAAATGGTGATTTTTGCGGGGCTTAATAAAAGTAAATGGTCATTGGCTAATAAAAGAATGCTGATTAAAGTTTGAAGGATATTTTGTGGGGCTTTTTTCACTCCTGTCCAAGCCATAGAAGAGACTACCATGTTTTTTCACTCCTGTTCATGAACTTCTTTAATTAGCTCATTGCTGAGGTCTTGAAAGTATATAACTCAATGATTTTTTCCTTGTGCTGATTACAGGACAACTTGCTCGGGAAGTTTACGAGAACATTAGGAGAGGCTTCTTGTCTGAGAATTCAGAGAGATTTTTGTATGCATCTTGCTAGGAAAGCTTATAAAGAATTGTGCTCCTTTGCTGTTTCTATTCAGGCTGGCATGCGTGGAATGGTTGCACGTGATGAGCATCGCTTCAGAAGGCAGATTGGTTTTTATGGAAAGTTTTCACTATTGTATTCTCTTAGACTACTTGACTACATGAATTGTGGATTTGGATGTATTAGTAGGAACTCCAACAATTTCTTTTTACACTAGCTTCTGTTCAACTTAATTCTTTAAAATTACCATACATAAGCATTTATAATAATGTTTTTCTTTTGCAGAGTAGTTTGAAAACTGTCTCAGAATCTCTGAATACTTCTTGATGGGTTTAAAATTAGCACAATTTAAAAAAAAAAACTATTCAGGCTGGCATGCGTGGAATGGTTGCACGTGATGAGCATCGCTTCAGAAGGTAGATTGGTTTTTATGGAAAGTTTTCACTGCTGTATTCTCTTAGACTACTTGACTACATGAATTATGGATTTGGATGTATTAGTAGGAACTCCAACAATTTCTTTTTACACTAGCTTCTGTTCAACTTAGTTCTTTAAAATTACCATACATAAGCATTTATAATAATGTTTTTCTTTTGCAGAGTAGTTTGAAAACTGTCTCAGAATCTCTGAATACTTCTTGATGGGTTTAAAATTAGCACAATTTCAAAAAAAAAAATGAAAAAGGATATCACGGCGTTTTTCAAAACGCCGGTTAAATCCTAAATCTAATGGTCATCTGTTTTTAAAAAGATACGATGGCGTTTTAAAAACGTCGCTAAATATCACAGTGATGTCATGGTACTGTTATTTAGGACATTTGGTGGCGTTTTTAAAAACGCCGCCTATACCAATATCACGACGTTTCTAAAATGCCACAAAGCTATAGCGACGGCCGCGTCCTCGGCGTTTGGTGCTAAACGTTGCAAAAGGAATTTGCGGCGTTTTTGACACTCATAGCGGCGTTTTTTAAACGCCACTAAAATTCTATTTTCCAGCAGCGTTTTTTCCCGCAATGAATCTGGGAAGTGTTTTTCATAAAATACTTCCAAGAATCTTGCCCAAGTCGCAATTTCTTCTTTCTCCAGAGTGAGAAGCCACCATTCTTACGCATTATCTTTAAAAGTGAAAGTGGCAAAAGTAACCTTCTGTCTTTCAGTGCAAGGTAGGGCGCGAAAAATCTTTTCCATGTCTTTAACCCAAGTGTCTGCTATCATTGGGTCTAGACCACTAGTAAATATGATGGGTTTCAGATTTTAGAATTGTTTTATGGTAATCGGCTCTTCTCACCGTTCTGGCATCCCATTGTTGATGTTGGCCTGCAAGGCTTGTAAAAAGCTAGTAACCGTTCGCTCTTTTCATGATTCTTTCTATCGATTTAGTGCCACTGACTAATGACTAGCCATTCTACAAAGTAATAAACGAGACATTACATCCATAACGCAGCATATATAGCGCAATATATATAAAATACCAACTTTACTATTTTTGCAAATGTAATAGTACATTCTTGTTTCAAAAATCAAAAATTGCGTTAGTGTCTCATCCCGTGGTACAAAAACAAAAAAGGGATCAGAACCGATCATGGTTAGCTCACAAAAAGAATTATTCTCTACAAGATCTAGATGGGCAGATCAAACAACCACGGAAAGTAGTGCTGCATAAAAAGCTTAAATTCCCACCCTAACTGTACCACCAAAACACATCGACATTGCCTGGACTATGTAAATGGGGACAGACTGTATGTATCCCCAAAACGCTCGATCAACAATCCAGTCGGGTGTCTCGATGTATGATAAATCATTACAAAAATCAACGTTCTGAATTTTAATAATTTCCAAAGGGTTAGAGATATTGGTGAATATGTAGTCTTCGGGTAAACATTTCCCCTTCTTCTAACAAAATCTGGGGGCAAAGGGCCAATTATGTAGTGAAAACGGTCATATTCTGGGACAAGACAGAGTACGTGGGTCCAAGATATTGTCCACGCGTGTAGGCACGGCTCTGTCTCCACAATGAGTATGCTACATCATTAGGATCAGCTTGTACATATATAGGCCAACTCATCAATTAGGAAATACCTGGATGTAGTCGCCTAACTATGTCTTCTGAGTCTCCCCATCCTTCCAGCGAAGCGAGGGTGTGGTGCTCTGCTAAGATGTCCTCCAAATTTATAGCCCCGATCACCTCCCAAAATGCTTCATTATGATTAAACTCGGGCATTCCTACATCACCAGAATAAACGTGAGATTTTATAGAAAAGGACTAACGTCACAAGTACATATTTATTTCTTTGTTTATTTTATTTATTATTTCTAACTATTACTCTGTTACCACCTTTGTCACGACCCAACCCCAAGGGCTTAGGGCTGGAATCACAAATTACTAAATAATTCTAATCATAGCAAATTAAATGGCGTAGGCGGAGGCAAAATAGAAGTAAGAAAATAATTAAACAAAAAATTAACTTCATTTGACTATTTTGATAAAAGAAAGTACATCTATAGGGCTTTTATTTATTTTTTTATTTAGTGACCGACCCTCAGTAAAAAAAACAAAAGGAAGAAAAGGAAAGAAAACAAAATAACGGATCAGCATCAAATTCTTGTACGGGATCCACTACATGAGGTTACGGGTCTTCCTTATATCTCGTCACTTGAAAGGATAATAGCTATAAGCACATAACAGAGTGAGAAATATTATGCCAAGAGTATAGAGAACACAAAATAACTATGGATAATTAGTTAAGCTAAAATATTTACATAACTTAATTTGAATAAGCAAATTATTCAAAGTGGCAGAAATTGAAATATGGAAATTATGTAAATAAATAACCATAACCACGGTACAGAACAAAACAGAAGAGAGGTCATAAGAGTGACAATCAGAATAGAGGTCAATAGATCCATGACAAACAGAGGACCACAAAGTAGTCAAATAGAGGCCAATGGTTATTTAAATCCCCCAAGGCATGGGACCCCGTGGTGATACTTACAAAACATAATTGTTTATAAAACCATTGTCAAATAATTTCTAAAAGTTAAACAAACATATCCATGGGTTTCAATTTAAGCAAATAGAGTTCAGAAAATAATTAATGTAATCAAAATATTAATATAATTTATAAAACATAGATTGCGTAAAATAATTTATGGTAACCCAAAATATATGTAAAATATATTATGATGGCTCAAGATATAATATAACTCACCAAAATATTGACCCTTAACCATTATTTTCCTAATATTGACTTCCTGTTTCTATGTATGTTGCCCTCCCCGCATAGCACTCCACTAATCCCTCTATTTATAGTTGGTGAAAACCCCTTAATCCCTAATCAAGAGTTAACGCGTGGCAAGCTTACCACTCGACCATCTATCCAATAGGTTTCCACATGTCCCTCCAGATTAGGTGACTCACCAATTCTTTAAAACCATTCATGCATAGTCATCAATCTACAGGCTAGGTTGGAGAACGCGTAGGGTCCCTTTTTTTTTAATTATAATTTGGCCCAAAATTTTTGTTTTAATAATCTAATTAAATTACATTCTATCACCTACAACATAGCATTAATTATTTTATTTTACTATTACTACCACTAGTATTATTATTGTTATTATCATTATTATTATTATTATTGTGATTGGTAATGGTATTAATTAAATATTTAGGATATCACAACAAGTATTATGAGTTGAATTGAACTATAGACTCAGGTCAGACTCCATTTACTAGACTTGTGCTATGTATCGAGAACATAGGGGTTGTCATGACCACTAGATTGGTGTTTTTGCTATAGGTCCTAATTTTTGCATAGCCCAAATTGGACGCGAAGTTCTAATTCAATCAACAGTATGAGTTTCACCCTCGCACAACTACCACCATTATATAATATTTGACACAGGCACACCGAAGGATTAATGCACCAATAATAATATGTATTTTTTAAGTAAAGATAAGCCTACAAAAATAAGATGCACATAAGTGAAGTATTAGAAAGAGATGAGCCCTTAAGACTCATCCTTTCTATGAGATTTTTGGTACATTTATGCATTTAATTCCTATTGTTGTGCACTTAAAAAGGTTTTAAAAAAATTATGTAATGAGTCTTTACTTTAGCAATGAAATTTTCATTAAATTCTATTATGACTTGAATCTCCTAGTCTCTCAACATAGTCCTAATAGAATTTAATGGAAAAATACATTTAAAACATATGACTTGTGTAAAAAAAATTATGAAATGTTTGAGAAATATTTTTCATTCATTTCAAAATATTGTATAATATATTTGTTGGTATTTATTTGTGTGTGTGTGAGAGGTTTTTTATTTTTTATTTTTTTGATTCAAATGAAAGGACAATAAAGTTAAGAGTTTAATACAAGCAAATAAACAAAAGGGTACTTAGACCCCCCCTAGAGCTAGCACCTACCATGTCTGCAACTAGGACAGATAGAAGAGAACTGGGTGGTTCATCTAAGAAGACAAAATGCTCAGTTTGGTTAACTCCAATGTTGGCAAGTGCATCGGCACATTGGTTAGCTTCTCTTGGAATATAGGAAATGTTGCAGTTGCATCTTCTCAGAAGGAAGTTGGCATCTTCAATCAATGCTCTATATGGGCAAGAGCTGTCAACTCCATCTTTGATAAGCTGCATTACTAGCTAAGAATCTATCTCAAGCTCTATGTTTGCCATTCCTTTCTGCATGATGATGGTGAGTCCTCGGTAGAGTCCCCAAAGTTTAGCTTCTAAGCTCGTGCAATTCCCCAGGTAACCATGGTAGCCCCACAACCAAGTGCCTCCTTCATCTCTCAATAGACCACCATACCCAGATTGGCCTGGATCTCCTTTAGAGCTTCCATCAATATTCAATTTCAATTACCCTACAAAAGGAGCAAACCAGACAGTTAGACGCGATGCTGAATAATTTGGGTGAAGTGGGTTTAAAAAAGTTTCCTGAATTTCTTGAGCTTGCTAAAGTATTCTGGCTGTGCTGATGAATGCAAGTTGAGTATGGTTTTCAAACACTTCTCTGTTCCTATCTTTCCATATATTCCAAATAGTAGACAGGAAAATAGTTGTCCATTGGATGTCAGCCATCTTGTTCTTACTTTTCATGTTGGAGCTAAGCTATTCAGGTAGAGGTATCCTATCTCCTTCCTGCCACTAGGTGAGGTTTTTCAAATTGACCCAGATTATTTTAGCTTTGGGACAGCCTCTTAGTAAGCAGTTTGACATCTGGAACAGATGTCTGAATCTGTAAGATTCCTTGTGAATCTCATCTGGTTTGTAAGTAGTCTTCTAAACATAGCCAGCCAGAGGAAGCTTTTTAGTCTCTGAGGGGCCTAAATTTTCCAGACCCATTGCCAATCCAAGCCATTCTCATCCTGGTGGGAAATAGAATTGTAGGTTGCTGAAGTAGTAAAGTTGGCATTGGTGGTGCCTTGCCAGGTAGGAGTATCCATGAAAGTCACAAACCTAGGCCTGTGGATGTGTAGAGTGTTATCTTTTTCTTTGGGAGATCAGGTTTTGAATTGAGGTCAAGTCCTATTGGCTTTCATCATCCAAAATGGAGCTAATAGTTGTTGTGCAATCAATGTGAGGGCCCTGGTTATTACTACACAGTGGTGCTGTGCCACACTACTCATTAGTCCAGAATAAGATATTCTCACCGTTTCCTACATTCCATTTGATGTTATCCTTCAAAACCTCTCTGTTTTTAATTATGTTTTTCCAGGTGTGGAATGCTTTTCTCTTTATGGGCCAATTGAAAATGGAATGGTGCTTAAGGTATTTTGATTGAAGAATTGTGCACCAGAGATTATTAGCCTTACTAGTAATTTTCCATCCAAGTTTGGATATCAGAGCAGAGTTTTTGTCCCTGATTTTCCTAATGCCCAACCCATCATTTCTGTTACTTTTGCAAACTTGGTTCCAGTTAATCAAGTGAACTTTTTTAACAGAATCAATGCTACCCCAAAGGAAATTTCTATTTAAGCTGTCAATTTTATCACAGATATGCCTAGGTAATTCCATAGTTTGCATGAGATGATTAGGTATGGTAGAAGTAACAGATTTCACAAGGGTGACTCTACCTGCAAGAGACAAATTTCTGGCCTTTCAGCCAGATAACCTATTAGTCATTTTCTCAATGATGTTTTTTGTATGATTCTTGTTGATTCGGTGAGAGAGGTTATTTGTGTGTGTGAGAGAGGGGGTGAGACAACTGTTAAGAATGAGTACGAGTAAAAAGAGACTTTCAAGCACGGATTTGAAAAGATGGATTGAGGTGGGTAGGGATCAAAATAGAATTTTGATTGTAATAAGGTAAAATATTATATTTAAATTATAATTATTTTTTTAAAAAAAATAATTAAAAAAATTTATTATAAATGAAATTTTTTAGTTTCAAATTAAAATAATTAAAAAATTAAAAATTAATCCACATTTCAAACGAGGTGTAAATTCGATGAAAAAGACTAGTGTTATCAAAATACGAAAGGAAAGGCAGGAAGGAAGTTGTTTGTAGCTGTCTTTTGTGGTTTCGTGCTCTCCTCCTCCTGAGATAGATAGATAGATAGCCGCTCTATCTCTCTCAAATAACTTGTTTAAGCCAACGAGTGAGTACTAGTACTACTAGTGGTTGTTTCTATTAGGGCTCGCCCTCCCCTCCGATTGTAGCAGAATTTTCTGATCCATCGTCTCCCAGTTAGATTTCTTCTTCTTTAGACAAGTCTTTTCTCTTTCTCCCTCTCTTGATGTATTGGTTGGTGGTGGTGGTAAAAGATAAGATTGGGGATCTCTCTCACTCTGTCTTTCTCAAGCACGGCGTCGGTTGGACGCTTCATCTTCAGATTCGGACTTAGTTGTTTCCATCTTTGAGGTATTATTACTATTTCTTCATTCATATTTTGCTTACTTGTTTTAGGTCCTTTCATTTCTTTCCCCCTCTTCTTGGAATTAGATCAGCTTCTGCATTGCCATTCCTCCTCCCCTATATTTTCATTCTGTTTCAGATCACTATATTTCTTCCTAATTTACTCAACCACATCGATCCTCTATGACAAATGCTAATGTCGCTCGTATATTTTATATATATATATTCTGTACGTACAAATTCTATTGAATTATCTAATAATGTGTATATCTGTGTGTAATTGTGTACGGATGTGAAAAATACTACTAACAATTACAAATCAAAGCCGCATTCTTGGAAACAAAAAAAAAAAAACGTTATTGCTACTTGTTTCCAAGTTTTAAGTACTGATGCAGAAATGGCTACTCGCAGTTATTACCAGCAATCACTGTCAATATGAGAGGCTGATCTGATCTGATCTGATCATATCATGTGAGTTGTTGTAAGTTAAGGATAGTAACCATCTTACTTGTGGATTAGTTTTATTTTTAACATCATCCTTTCCATACAAAACATAAAAATATCATATACTATAACAACTACCTTAATTAATCACAATATAAGACTCTATTAGGCTTTATTTATTTATTTATTTATTGTTTTTTATAAATGGTTCCAATTAATCCCAAGTGGGTGAGGCTTGAATCCGACCGATGTCCCAAATTTTAATGCTTTTTTAATTTTACTTTTTATTGATCATCCCATGGCCAGGCCTGCATTATTACATCATTAGAGTCGTGATCTTCTGTACTACTCAAGGATGAGATTAGATGAAAGGTGATATATAGCAAGTTAGCTCTTCCATTTTAATGCCCTCCTTTATTCAAACTCTTGAAATATTTTATTGGAAACATTGCTACAGTCACTTTCAGCTGCAACTAGAACAATTATATGAAATCATTTAGTCTTGCCTCCCCAATGTAGCATTGCCTAGTGGGCCATCCCTGTCTTGTTCCTTGGGATCGTGGAGGAAACCAACAGAGAAGACTGGAGTGGAACTTTAGTTTTCTCTATGTAGTTCTGATGGAGGTTCCTTTGTCCCAAGTCTACTATCAAGGACTTCTGGCATTATTGAAATCAATATTCAGGGACAGACATAGACAAGAAACAAGAAAAATGAAAGCATATATTTGAGGCCATATGTGTTTTTGTGATTTCTATTTGTAACTGAAACATGGAGCAACCAAAGCATCAGTGCTGGAATTTAAGTTCATTAGCCTGTTTTGTTTTGTTTTATGTTCCCACCGCACCACCTAGATCTATTCTTGAGGACATCTGGAATCAATAGTTGAAATTTACAGTTCAAGGACATTACTTGTTTTGCTGTTTCTGTGTGTGGTAAGTTAGAAAATTTTAGAAAGGATATATCAATGTACGGTAAACATGGGCATACCCTAGGACATACAAGATATCTACTTGAAGCAACCTTCATCTATAGGAGGCTATACAAAGGGGAAAATTCCTATAAAAGACACAATTCATAAGGCTGAACCAACCTTAGCAGTAGCTTCAACCATCTGGATTGTCAAAATCTTATCAGGATTCATCAATACAGTTTGTATACCATTTTTGTATCAAGGCAGGAAAAACACCAAGATTTCAAGACTTGAATTTATCTTTCCGAACTGAGAATTAGACATCATTAACCATTTAAAATGGAAACAGTCTCAATATCTCAACAACACAAAATTCAGCAACCATCTAGAATGGCAACACCTTAGCAGAACAATGACACAAAGATAAGCAGAGATTGAAGATAACATTACCAGCAAAGGAGGACAATAGCCAAACCAATTTTCAGATCAACATTAAATGGTGTTATTCAAATCAAAAGAACTAAGCCATCCCTCTTCACTGTTAGCCAAGATCATATTAGAAAGCAATCTCAACTTGCACATTAAAAGAACCGGACAACTCCATGACAGTAACAACTATTTATTTTTTAAAAATTGTTTCAGGAACATTCTAGCTTTATTGTAGGAACCTATTCTACAATGGTTGCTTTTTTTCTTTTTCTTTAATTCTGCTTTCTTTTACTTTATAATGATCTTTTGCCTGTTCTGCACACGTTATGCTTCTGTGATCACTCAGCAACTTCTCTCCATGTTGTTTTTTATTTTTTCAATCTTTTTTTTTGGTATTTAGTTTTGTATTTTATTAGGTAAAGCTATGGATATATTGCACAATTTCTGTGGATTTTCTCGTTTATGACGATTTCAGATATCCTGAAGCCTGGCAGCAGTTGTATAAATTGATAAATATAGCACTCCTATAGATGAATTCACACTCTGAATTAAGAAAACTGTTCTGAATTTCTGGTTGGATATGCCAATAATTGTCTTATATTTTGTTTTCAAGGGAAAACTCCTTTTGCAGATTATTTGGAGCCAGGGATTGATAGGTTAGCATCATCTTGTGAAGAAAAGAATGGCAAAGATGATTGATAAATCACTTCTCTTGACCTATCTGTACTTGCTAATCTACATTATGCTTTCATCTGGAGTTATATTGTACAACAAGGTAATGCAATTATTGTTTGATTTGTATATTTCAGCATCTTCATTTGTTTTTAATTTTTTTTGGGTAAGCTTAACATCTTTACTCACAGTCCATGTATGGATTTCTATTTTATACCACTGGATGAATATACTTTGCCTTCAAAATTGCATGGAGGAGGATATGTTTGTCCACTTATTGTTGTTCTACAGCTTCTGAAATTTGAGAGTATAGAAGCTCATATATGTGCAAAATAATGTCACTTTATTCTGGATCTTTGCTAATAACTTTCAATGCACAAAAGTTTCATAGTTTTCAACATCTTTTTCATTATTATTGTAAGTTTTCTAAAAGTTTTTTGTATATTCAATTGTGTAATAATACAAAGAATACATCTGATTATATGGTAAACTTAACCCCAAGACTAAAGGAAACATTGCCATATATATACACTTAAACACTACCATATATATAAACCTAACCTAAAGGAAACATTGTCATATATATACACCTATACAATCTCTTAGAAAAGGAAACAATGCCTAACCTAATATTCTCACACACACCCCCGCTCAAACTCATAGTGTTGTAGCAGAAAATACCGAGAGTTTGCTAAGAAGAAACAGAAACCGAGCAGTGGTGTGAGTCTTGATAAATGTCATGACCCGAAACCGCCTCTAAAAGTTTGGGTCATAACCGGTCAGTAATCCGTGGATTACCGAAGGTCTCAAACGATCATACAAAATATTTATGTTAATGGGGCCATAACGGAAGCGTATAATAAATAGGAATCCATTGAGCTGTGTCAATCATGAGCAAGATCGTAGAGATAACCATATAACACATTAATTCATGTACATGCCCATTGAAAATATGAGAACCATAGAAAAATTGTACATAGTGTTTAAAACCCAAGACCATGGAAGCAAAAACAAAATAAGGTCAAGGTGTGGTGTGAGTCAAGACAAAACTCCATCTCGGAGGCATAACTCGATTGGGTGACAAAAAGGTTCCTGAAGCTAACTTTAGGGGTGTGCTCCATGCTGCTGATCACCTATATGTGCATACATAAAATTGGGTGAGCGAAGCTTAATGAGTAATAATACAGTAAAGCAGTGTAAGTAGATGATCATAAGGTTTTCACAAAATCCATAATCATATAAATCAAGCGGCCTCAGGTCCAACATATAACAAGCGGCCTCGGACCCAATCATATATCAAGCAGCCTTGGGCCTAATCATCTAACAAGTGGCCTCGGGCCCAAATACATAACAAGCGGCCTTGGGTCCAATCATATAACAAGCGGCCTCGGGCCCAATCAGATATCAAGTGGCTTCGGGCCCAATCACATAATAAGCGGCCTCAGGCCCAATCATATAACAAGCGGCCTCGGGGTTAATCATGTAGCACATGTTATGTAATACCAATGAAGTTTCGTCATTTCCAATCTATACATAATGTTGGCACCAATCACCATTCATTGTTCAAGATACGCAACAAAGAGTTTAAGTGTACAATATTACTATTCACAGTGTGTTTGATCTCACGATGTCTCCTTGGCCACACGACCTACATAAACATTTCACACATACATTTGTTATATCATTTGCTTCAATTGTACTCTTTTCTTTCATTATTCACTACCTTCCTTAATGAGTTTTCAAGCATCATTCCACTTCTAAAAGCATTGAAATATGGTTGGGAGTGCATTCCGGAAGTTAGGGTAACAAGACAAAGAAAACAGGATTTTTTTCCTGTTGGGCCACATGTGCAGCCGTTCCAGCCGCTCCAGCGGTCTGGCTCCGCACGTGCGGAAATGGCCGCCGCTCGAGCGCATAGGGAGGAGTCAGTTTACGCAAAAATCTTGGGCGCTCGTGCGGAGCCCGTGGCCGTACGAGCGGTCTGGGCTCACTCAGGCAGTCCGAAAATGGCTCAAAAACACAAACATTTTCATCTCAATCCCAAACCCAAATCCATGTAAAAACAACTCAAAAACATGATATGTAAGCATGATACAAGTGTAATTCCTCATTAAACATATCAATCTTGCATCAACAACAATTTCATGGTCTCATTTTTTCACAATTTCATGATTTCCATACACAAGTTCAAAATACATATATTCATGAATGATTTTCTCACCAATCTTGTTTATGTGAACCATCTAGGGTTTGTTTCATGAATCAATCATAAAAATGAACTCGAAGCAAACAATGGTGTAGAGATTAAGGTCTAATTTCATGCCTTTAGCCCTAGTCACTACACAACTCAAAACCCTAGTTCAAAATTCCTAATCTCTTCATGATTTCTAGACAAAGATGAGTTAGAGACAAAGATTGTAAATAAATTTCCATACCTTAACTCAAATCTATTGTTTGCCCCTTGATTCCTTTCGAATCCCTAGCTTTCTCCTCTTTCTCTCTCTCTAACTCACACTTTGGAGCCCTCTTCCAACAAATGAAGAACAAAAGAGGCCATACATATACAAATTAACTCAAAAATCTTAATTTATTCATTACGAAACATAATTATTCAAAATCTCACCAAAGACTCTAAAAACCATGCTAAGCATTGCTATGAAGTCAGTTTTTGTTTATCGAGCTTCTATGACCTTCAATTTCAGTTCAAAGTTTCAATTGCAATAGATATTCCTACTTTCAACAGATATTTTTCCAAATTCACATATTTCTCATACTTAAATTTGCAAATTCACATCAAACATCTAATCATATGCATAATTAAGCATAGTACGGGTTGGGTTATCACAGTAAAAAAGTCAGCAAGTTGCAGAGTCAAAGAGACGAAATGAAACAAGATAGAGCCAGACTGCAGATGTTGACGGACAGAGTGACAATCAATCTTAATGTGCTTTTTCGCTCATGGAAGACGGTGTTATGGGCAATCTGAATAGTACAATGGTTATCACAATAGAAGGAGGTCGGAGAAGATTGACGGAAACCTAAGTCAGAGAGAAGACAACGAAGCCTAACTACTTCAGCAGTAGCATAAGTCATAGCACGGTACTCAGTTTCAGCAGTAGAACGAGCAACAACAACTTGTTTTTTGTTTTTTCAAGAAAATAAGGAATCGCCAAAAACATACAACAACCAGAAGTGGACTTACGATCTGTAACATCACCAGCCCAATCAGCATCAGCATAACGACTAAAGCCAATGAAGAAATAGAGGATAACAGTAATCCTTGGAAGATAGTACTATGAAGATAGTTGAACAATCCAAACTAAAGCTACCCAATCTGCAGAACGAGGAGCAGAAACGAATTGACTAACCACATGAGCAGCATAGTCAAGATCAGGACAAGTAACCGTCAGATAGACTAAGCAACCCACAAGCTCTCGATATAAAGTAGGATTAGGCAAAGGAATACCATCAGTAGTATTAAGTTTCACACTAAGCTTAATGGGCGTATCAGCAGTAGTGTCAGTAAGACTAGCACGGTGAATAACTTAATTAGCATACTTAGCCTGAGACGGAAAGTAGTCTTTAGGAGAAGAAGCCACCTCAATACCAAGAAAGTACCGCAATGGGCCCAAATCCTTCATTTTGAAGGTATGGAAGAGATGTTGCTTGACATCAGAGATAGCGGAAAAATCAAAGCCAGTAATAATCATATCTTCCACGTACAATAATAAGGCAACAAACCCAGCAGAGGTGTGAAGGAGAAACAAAGCAGAGTCTTGAGCAGAAAGATGAAATCCAAGCTCAGTAACAGCAGTTTGAAAGCAATCATACCAAGCACGAGGAGATTGCTTCAGACCATACAAAGCACGCCGAAGACGACAAACCTGTCCAGAAGAATGGTGAAGGCCAAGGGGAGGACGTATGTAAACCTCCTTAGCGAGATGACCATTAAGAAAAACATTCTTAACATCCATCAGATAAAGAGGCCAATGACGAACAACAGCGACAGATATCAAAGTACGGACAGTAGTCATCTAGGCAACAGGTGCAAAGTTTTCCTCATAATCAATACCATACTTTTGGGAAAAACCCTTGGTAACCAGGCAAGCCTTGTAGCGCTCAAAAAAACTATCAGAATGAGTCTTGACTTTGTAGACCCATTTGCAACTAACTAGATTCTTACCAACAAGTAAAGGAACTAACCCTCAAGTGCTAGTTTTTTGCAAAACAGGCAACTTATCCTCCATTAAATCCAATAAGGATCCTGACAAGCCTCCTTGTAAGACTGAGGTTTTGAAAAAGAGTGTATAGTAGACAAAAACGTATAGTAAGAGCATCTCCAACGGTGCATTTCTTTTTCATCAGATTTGAGTAAAAAATGACCTATTTCACCAAATCTGATATCACTAGCTCCAACGATGCATCAAATCCCGTATCAAATGTCGGGGGTCAACCGGTTGGTCGACCAGTGGGTTGACCAGTGGGTCGACCGGCTCAAACAATAGAGAAAAACATAAATCTTTATTCCATTATGATAGATGTACCACCCACGGAAAATTTGTCAAGTGCACAAATCAGTGACTTCTTCTGAAAACGAAGATCAAGAAGGATGATTCCACTACTTTCATGGCTAATCTCAAGCTTACTGATATTTTCGAACTGATATTTTCTCAAGCTTACCTCATCTCATTGCTCTGGCTAATCTCAAAGAGCTCGTGGAACACCATACATGGGAAGAACAAGCTGTGAGATTGCAGACAGAAGCTGCTCAAATGGCTAGTCTTCAATACCTTCAATATCTCCTTCAACCTCAACCTTCCATGTCAACTTTCTCAAACAACTCAAACTCTACTGTCACAGATATGGAGACTTAAAATCTTCTGAACTTACTCTCTTTAATGAAAGATAGCTCAATCCAATTTGGAACTCCAACCCCATCTTCTCTTGGAACTACTACCACTCTTCAATCAATCCAGGACTCATTCTCATTCCTTTTCAGATGTTTGGTGGTGGGTTGACCGGTCGGTTGACCGATCGGTCCGGTAAGGCAATTTTTTTATTTATTTTTTATTTTTTTTTTAATACCTATTTGAACCTTTTTGACCGGTTTGAACCTAAGGAAATCGGTCGACCGATTGGTCAACCGGCCGGGCAACCGGCTAGTTGACCGGTTCCTCCCTCCAACGGTCACAACCAGTGTTTTGATGAAATCTGCTTTCTGTCCTCAGTTTGATGAATTGTTTGGTGAAATTTCATTTTGATATCGATTTGGTGCAACCGTTGGAACACTAAATAGTAACTTTTTCACCAAATTTTAAATTTGATGCTGGGTTTGATGAACCGTTGGAGATGGTCTAAGAAGGAGAAAGGCATGTTTTGGCAAAACCAAATTTGACTACTTATTTATGGATGCGAAGGGGATACTTGCGACGAGAATAAACTAACAATAGAGGGGGAGAAAGAGCCAATGAGGGAGAAGGTGGAAAGGATGTAACAAACTCATGGGATACAGTGAAGAGAGACTTAGCAGGAGAGGTGAGACAAGAAGAAGATGGAACAAGCTCATGGAGAGCAGCAGAGATGTACTCATCAGGAGGGACCTCAGAAGGAAATGGATCAATATGAACCAAATCCTCTTTGGAAATTGGGGCTGTGAGAGGAGGAAGTTGAAAGTAAGGTAGACGTTCAAGAAAGGTATCATGGCAGGAAACATATAGGCGACGAGATACAAGGTCATAACAGCGATAACCTTTTTGAGTGAGACTGTAACCCAAAAAGACACACAAGACAAACCGGGCACTCAGTTTAGTTCTATCTTTACGGGGTAAAAGGACAAAACAAGTAGACCCAAACACACGAAGGAGGGAGTAATTAGGAAGTTGAGAAAACAGAGCCTCATAAGGAGACAGACCAGAGAGAAGAAAAGTAGGCATATGGTTGAGAAGAAAAATAGTAGCAAGAATTGCCTCACCCCAAAACAGAGCCAGAATAGAGGCAGAGAGAATGAAAGACATAGCTATCTCAAGGAGATGACGGTGTTTACGTTTAGCTCGACCATTTTGGACAAGTGTATCAGTACAGGAAGTCTGATGAATGGTACTTGAATTGGCCAAACACTCACAGAACTCCGTTTTAAAATATTCCCCACCCAAGTCAAACCGTAATAATTTAATAGTAGATTCAAACTGTGTAGTGACCATAGACTGAAAAGTACAATATATCTAGTAAAAGTTAGACTTGTGAGTCTTAAGATAAACTTAAGTGTAATGAGTGCAGTCATCAACAAATAACACATAGTATGCAGAACCTTTTTTAGTGAGAATAGGAGAAGGACCCCAGACATCAGTATGATCTAAAGAAAATGATGGATTAGATATAGTACTTTTATGGAAAGGTAAGGCTGTCATTTTGGCAAGTTTACACCCTTGACACTCGTTAAATTGACTAGGAGAAACTTTACCCAATATACCTGATTGAGCTAATGACCGTAGGCTATTAGCAGACAAATGCCCTAATCGGGAATGCCACAAATAGAAATGACTTGATAGATAATCTAATTGAAAAGAGAAAAAGGCAGTCGGAGAGGTAGTTATATAGGCAGATGCAAGCTTTCCACCACATAAAGGTCTCCAATTCTACGGCTAATCCCGATCTGCCGCTTGGACATCCAATCCTGTATATAACAGATAGAAGAAGAAAAGATAACTTCAGAACCGGAGGCATCAAGCTGACTGATAAATAATAAACTAACAGATAACTGAGGAACATGTAAGACAGATGAAATAGAGACAGCAGACTAGCAGACGATAGGAGAGACCTAAGAGATATAACAAACATACCAGACCCATTAGCAGTATTGATAGTAATACAAAAGGGAGGAGGAGTACAATTTTGAAGTAAGGAGAGATGGGGAGTCATATGATGAGAAGCACCAGAGTCAAAAATCCAGACAGAGGAAGAGATACCTAAAGAAGACCCAAGTAAACCTGAATGAAGAGAGGAAACAACTGAGGCAAACGAGAAGGGCTGGTAGGTAGACAATATATGTTGAAGCTGAGTAATTGGAGTACTCAAGGAAGCCAAGTCAGGATCAAAGATCGGAATGGATGCAGTATAAGCGGTAGGAGCTTGAAAATTACTCAGAAGAGAAGGGCAAAACTGGGTCTGAGACTGCTAAGAGGATGTGGTAAGCAGACGTCCTTTCTTGGGACAGTGATACTTCCTATGGCCCTTCTAATGACAGAAAACATACTCATCTGAAGCCAGTAGCCTATTTCTAGACCTAACAATCTGATTAGCTGACATTGTAATAAACCAAAAATAAAATAAAATAAAAGAGAACTGATAGGCAAAGTATAATAAACAGAAGGATGTTGAGTCAATCTGTAATAAGCCTAAAATAGGGTGTATTAAACTAACCCGATAACCAGAATTAGAGAGAGGGAGAAGACCACTAAACACATCCGAAGTCAAAGTAGAAGTCGAGCAAATCAAAGACAAACACCTCTTCGATCACTGAAGCCTAAGTAGAGAGAGAGAGAGATGGTCCTCACGAGTTGAAGCAAGAGAGAGAACCAGAGAGGTCGATAGCAACGGAAGTGAAATCCGAAGCCCAAAGGAACTAAGAAGACCAGGTGGGTTGACGACAGAGACGAAGATGAACAAGAGAACCAACGAACCAGAGAAAGATGAACCAGAAGTCTTCGAACAAGAGAAGCAACAACAGAGAATAATCACGTCATAGAGGAGTTGACCTAGAGAGACAAAGTCCACAAATCTGGAATAGAGAAGAAGAATCCAAGAGCGAACGGCACTAGGGTTTCAAACCTAGCTCTGATACCATATAAGTTTTCTGTATATTCAATTGTGTAATAATACAAAGAATATATTTGATTATATAGTAAACCTAACCCCAAGACTAAAGGAAACATTGCATAAATATATACCTAAAACACTGCCATATATATAAACCTAACCTAAAGGAAACACTGCCATATATATATACCTACACAATCTCTTAGAAAGGAAACACTGCCTAACCTAATATTCTCACAATTATATCTACTATTGCATAATTTGCATTTAAACAAATGTCATCTTCAGGATTGTATATAGAACTTATTATGAGTTCACATTTTCTTTGAATGAAAGTTGCCTTTAATGTCAATCTCCTTATTGCATGACGAATAACATTGTACATATGTGTGTGTATATTTACATTTGTATATGTACTAAATACTGATCTGCCTTCCAAATATAAGATAATATTAAGTTTCCATATTTGATAAATTACAGGGAAAATGCTTTGGCCTCCCACCCATCCTTTTACTCCGTTTTTTTAAGGATCAAGTGCCATCTTCTCTTTGGTTAGAGCTCCAACTATTCACTGTAACATCTCAGCAACATTTTATACCCCACTTCATGGATTTGAATACACATAATCAGCTTTAGGGCAATACTTGTTGAGACCATAGAGATCAATGGCTTTTATTGCTTGTGATTGAAGTATGTTGCTCTTAAACATCTAAAAACAATGCATGGTTAGCCCTTGTTAGGCTTGCATATGAGTCAGGTCAGGTCTGATCTGGTCCAATGAAGCCTGACAGGAACCTGACATCTCAAAAAGTGCCTACGACTATGATTATCAAAATTCCTACCAGCTTTCCTACACCATGGGTTTACCTGTTCCTTTGAATGCACTGGATTTATAAATATGTAGTTGGATTCATTGAGTAGGTTTTCACACATGAAGAGGTATTAGTAGTTCCTACTTCATATGCTACTGTTCATTTTCCATGTCTTGCTGATATGTCATGGGGTATACATGTTAGATGTGTGCAATAAATGTAAAGACAATCCCTAACAATGTTGACTGCAATGGTTAAGATCCATCATAAATATAGCACAGTTAAATGTGCTTGTAAAATTTGTCAAAGAGCAGCTTGGTGCCTTGCAGTATTTTTAGACGGGATCCTATCAGGGTTTTCTATGGAGTGATAAATAAAAATGTTGGAAGTTTTTATTTCAGTTGAGATGTAAATGAGACTTATCTAACTGGCAAAACTTAAATGTTTTTTTATTTGACATTCACAATTGCCCTGCTCGAAGCTCGGTTAGGTATCACAGGCACACTTCCTGATCACCTAAGAACCAACCAACTTCATCAAGAATTGTTTGGCCACTCTTTTACCCGGATCCAAAAAAGAAGTTAAATTTTTTGGGGATTGTTATTGGAAATGAAGTAGTATGGCTAAAACCTTCAGATTGTTGTTAGGCCTTCATTATTGAAAGCTATATCTTCTTTGAAGCTACATATTTCCCTTCTTCACACACGTGTAAGACCTCTAATTCTGCTCAATAGACAGGCCTGTTGGCTCATAGGTTCAGTCCATGCTGGCTCCATCTAAAACTGTGGGGCCTTGATTTGGTGTCTTTTTCAAGTGTAGTTGTTTATATAGTTGCACTAAACCTTGAACTATACTCCCTCTATTTTTTTTAATGATAACATATATGTTGATTTGCATTTGATGAATATGTTTGCAGTGGGTTCTCTCTCCAAAGTACTTCAATTTTCCATTTCCAATAACACTTACAATGATTCATATGGGATTTTCTGGATTAGTAGCATTCCTTCTTGTTCGTGTTTTCAAGGTATGGCTTCCCACATAATTTTGGCAATTTAACTTCTGGATCTGCTTTCTTTTTTACCTAGTTGCTAATTGTTTGTTGTTAAACTACTTCTACAACTAGACAGATAGATGTATGAGCTGTCATTTATGTCTTCCAATCTTACAAAGTGAGGTGCACTTTTAAATAATTACTAGAGCCAACCAGTGTCTAGTGGTTGCTATCTGTCAATGTTGAAGGGTCAGAAAATCTTTGTTTCTGGGAGTTAATTAGACATCGCATGCCTTAGCCATGGCAGCCATGTTGCTTGTCAATATATAGATTTCTGCCTTCTGGTTCCCTGTGCCGAGTAGAATGTATTCAAAATTTCACTATGTCCTCATAATTAAAGCAACGGTATTATCTTGTTGCAATTCAAAGGTGCCGACTTGTAGCTAGTTGTACCTCTTTTTCCAAGAGCCACTGTGGACTTTTTTTTTCCCTTTTTGTTGATGTTGTTGTTGATAAGAGCACATTGGGAACCATAATTACTGATTTATGTATCATCCAACAAAGGCACGCATTCTTAGGCATGACACGTTGGAGCCTCTCTCTTTTTTTTTTTTTCTTCCCCTCATTGAAAATGAAAATTTCCCCATTAAAATCTTGATACACAAATGCTTAGAAGATCTGAAAAAAGTACTCTAGCTCAATTTTTAAATTTCTTAAATAAGAAAACAATGACAATATTTTTCTGGTAATTGATGAGGTTCTTCTGACAAACTCATTTATGTTGTAAATGTGCTCCCCTCTTGCATATAGTTTCATATCAGTTAATAAAAAACATTTCTGGCTCCTGTACAATTTATGGTGCATCCAGCCAAGCTCACATTCTTCTTGCCTTTACTTGTGAAGAAACGAAATTGGCCTTTAAAACTTTGTACTCCTTTTTTTAATTCTACATATCATTCCTTTTACTCTAAAATTATTATGTTTTTAGATGATTTTAATTCATATCTCTCTCTCTCTGTCTTTTCTTTTTTAAATGTATCTGCAGGTTGTGTCTCCTGTTAAAATGACATTTGAGATGTAAGAGATCCAGTTTCATGTTTTAAATAATTTACTTTTTTGTTTATTTTTATTTTTTAAACTTCTTTCGTTGAATTTTTTTCTCTCTTTATTATTGGCAGATATGCGACGTGTGTGATTCCAATAAGTGCCTTCTTTGCTTCTAGTCTCTGGTAAGCATTTAATTGTAGCAACACTAATTTGATGGATTGAAATATTATGGAGGCATGGGCAGTGGCGGTTCCACAGCGATTTAAAGTTGCGGTGATTTGAGCCACACCCAAAATGCATCTAGTCCATTCACTTTATTTAATGAGTACTTTTCTTGATACGTAGTAGTGTACTTTTGTACAAAGACCAAAAAAGCTATCCTCACATTAAAAAAAAGATTAATGCGAAGAACGCAGAATTGGTCACAGAAAGTGTAATAGTAGCCCGAAATTGATGCTAATGTGGACGCCTCAATTAATGGGTTTATTTTCAACCTTCTATTGCATTTTCTGTGACCATTCGGTGATACATTCTATGTTCCTAACATTTCTAGAAAAAAGAAGATAATATTCAAAAGATTTTTAATTTAAACTCTTGAATACCCTGACCAAAATTCCTGAGGCTGCCACTGGACATGAGTGGGGATATTTTGTTTCTAGCTGGTGCTCAAATATTAGAAAGGGATAAACCTTGACATGTTTAATGCTAGTTCTGGCAAATGATTTTGGTTTATATGAACAGCTATGCTTCAATTTCATTCAAGTCTATAACCACTGCCTTGCTATGTTTGGAAGAATAAGATCTGTTGTCTATTTCTGTTTCTTTTCACAGGTTTGGTAACACTGCTTACTTGCATATCTCTGTGGCCTTCATCCAGATGCTCAAAGCCCTAAGTATGTGGAAATAAATTGCAGAGCTTTTCCTCAATTTCATAGCTGTGCTGTTATATCTAAGAAAATAAGACTTATTCTAATATTCTTGATGTCAGTGCCGGTGGCGACATTTCTCGTGGCTGTTTTGTGTGGCACTGACAAATTAAGGTGGGACGTGTTCTTGAACATGGTGCTGGTCAGTGTTGGAGTTGTCATTTCCTCATACGGGGAAATTCATTTTAATGTAGTTGGGACACTTTACCAGGTCACAGGGATCTGTGCAGAAGCTCTAAGGCTGGTTTTGACTCAAGTCCTCCTGCAAAAGAAGGGCTTGACTCTAAATCCTATTACCAGTCTATATTATATAGCTCCATGCAGGTATATCAGATTTTAATGCTTTTGGACATTTTCTTTTATTTTGAAAAGATAGGGAAGCATGATTCTGTACACTTCAATGAATCTTTTAACAAAATGTTAAAATGATTAAATTTAATTTTTGACATCGTAATTTTTAGGCTGCTGGTGGAATGGCCATTGTCTCCCATGCGTGTTAATTGTTAAGTCTCCTAGAATCTTAACGTTTGTGTTAATTATTGATTACTTGATCAATTTGTCACTCAGTATGAATTATGAATGAACTGATTTTGCATATAAAACAACATAGAGTAGCTCTTTCGTTCTGTACTTGATTCAGCTTTGTTTCTTTTTATTACTTGATTTATTGTGTCGGAGGGATGGATTTTAGCTAATGGAACAATGTGTGAGGGTTTTGCTATGTGCTTGTTTGTATCCAAACCTGTATCTATAACATACACAGTTTGTTATTAGTTACTACAGCATCTTTTAATGGGTGTTTACAGCTGCGCAATTCTTGCTTTCTCATACTTGCCATTTGGCCTGTGTGCAGTTTCGTGTTTCTATTTGTACCTTGGTATTTCCTGGAGCAACCTGGGATGGAAGTTTCGCAGATCCAGTTCAATTTCTGGATTTTTTTCTCTAATGCTATTTGTGCTTTAGCATTGAACTTCTCGATTTTCTTGGTAATCGGTAGAACTGGAGCAGTTACCATTCGAGTTGCTGGTGTTCTGAAAGATTGGATTCTGATCGCCCTTTCAACTGTTATATTCCCAGAGTCCACCATTACTGGGCTGAATATTATTGGATATGCAATTGGTATTTTTTTATTAAAATGAAGTACTGCAAAACTTTAATCACAATCACATTTTTGCACAGCTTCACATTAAACGTTAATTATCTGCTTTCTGCAGCACTATGTGGTGTTGTGATGTACAACTACTTGAAGGTTAAGGATGTTCGGGCATCTCAAGTCCCTGCTGATGGTATTCCAGAGAGAATTGCAAAGGTCAGCTTTTACCGCTTTTCTCTATAGCTTTCTGCTCTGATTCAACAATTTGGTCAAGTTTGGATTTCTTTTTTCGTTAAACACAGGACTGGAAGTTTGAGAAGAAGTCCTCTGACATACATAGACCAGATAGCAGTGATGATGACAATGGAGGAAGCAGTAGAGGGAATAATAATTCTGCCTCAGATGTAAATGCAGACGAAGAGATGCCTCTAATACCTTCATCGAGGTTGTCTCATATTGGACGTGCGCAGCTTAGCAGTCATGGCCCGTGACTATGATGAACCGAATGTAGATAAAACGTCAAGAGAAACTTTTCTTTGCAAAACCAAAAAAAAAGGCTAAAGGGAGGAAGAGAAAGCAGGAGCAACTGTATACTACACCTCTTAGATGGTGTGAAAACCCTTACCTCTTTTTTGGTCGGAAAAAGCTCATTACACAAAAGTTAGGGGCAATATTATAAGATATGCTTTATGGCCGGTAGTTTCTTGATGAACATGCCAACAAAATATATTGAGGGCTCTTCATTTTGAGACTAGATCCTGATTTTATGTTAATTAGATTTGCCTTCGGTGGAATGTTTTATTTATTTATTTCACTACAGAATTTTGAGTTAAGATTGGGTTTTTTTATAGATTGGTTATTTGCTGTTAATCAAATCCCAGAGGTACACAAGCTAGTGGTTCCAAAAATGTCTTGGACAAAGATGGAGGGATGGCAACGAGGGGATGGATTTGTAGTATTTTGCCCCTTACCCTGAATCAACTATATAAACTTGTGATATTATAAGTTTCTCAATCAATGAGATTCATTCAATCAGGACTAGTACAACATGGATTTCAAGGTAGAATTCATCGAGTATATTATTATTCCTTTCTAGCATTACAAGTAGTCTTGGAAGGTTTACAGAGAACAGTCAGCATTCCAAAAAAAATAAATGCAAGAGGGTGTAAAAACAGACCCCAATTATGATTTACATGAAAACAAAAATCACAAACATGATATGCACATCTCATCACACAAGAATCTGTTTTTATGTGGGGCGGAAGAACACACGTGACCTCAAACAGCATTTACTCTCATCTTCATCTGGTCTAGTCTTGCAACATGAATCATGACATGACAACTCAATGGAATATAACTACCTCCATTTGTGATATAAGAATTTACTTGAAACCTTCCCCATGCTTCAGATACAACAGTCTCCTCCCTGCAGGAGCCGGAGGACCCAATCCTGGTACGTCCCTAATGCTTTTGTTGTTGGGATTCACAATCTGAAAATTTACAAGGTTATATAGTTGCCTTGAAATTGAGTGCATATCAACTGCCAATCAAGTACATACACAAACAAGTATTCAACACGTCATGGTGCAATGAAATAAGTTGAAAAAATGCCTGCAAAGCTCCCAAGATAGTCAACTCACTCGCTGCAACATCATATATCTATGCCATTTGTCAGGACACACTCAATTGCACAATTGCCGAGCCACAAACTAATAAAGCATAATATCCACCACTTTTTTTTTTTTTTTTGGGAACTTTGTATATCCACCATTTGAACACTGAAGTATGGACCCATGGAAAGGAAGGCGTTGTGGAAACCCCCCTCTCTAATTTGTTCAAAGCTTAACAATATTCCAACAATTGGGCATACATTTTATTAATATTATCCTTCCCATTAATGTCGGCATGCTATTCATTAGAAATGCGTTGTGCCTACATATTCTGTCATTTATAGGACCTACAACAAATTTCCCCAACCAAAAATTCATAACATGCATTTTAGAAAGCCTATGCAATTGGAATGAAACTTTATGGTCCACTTTCTTATATGCTTCGCTTTCATTTCTTTGGGAGCCTGGTCCATTTACTATTAACAAGGTAATTGAGTTAACAAGAGAAATTGAGGAAATAAAATGGGTGAATTGGAGAAAATACCTTCACAATGATTATAGCAATCACACCACAGACAATAAGAAATAGAAAAAGCATGATGCATTTATCTGTAGCCACCTGAAATACATCAGCCATTTAGTCTGTAAACAACAAGAATCAAATTGAATAAAGTTGAAGCTGTGGGAAAAAAACCAACCAACCTGCCTACCAATCTCCTTCACAAGCTGGGAGGCTTTCTTGATAGAGAACTGAATTGTATCAAGCTCATTCACAATTCGACCCATTTGTTCAGTCTGTAGAAAATAAGGAAAACTAAGATTAGACCCAGAATGGGATCAATGACAACAAAAATAAAAATAATTTGTGATGCATACTCACTTGACCCTTCAATGTAACAGCTGTTTGGGTCCCCACTTCAATTGTTTGTTCTACAACCTACATGTCCATCTCAAGTTCAGAGGACAATTAATGGCAACACCGAAGCAAACATGTTTTAGAGCTGACTGCTACCTGTTTTGAACGTTCGATTGCCTGATCAGTCTCATTCATCGTCTTCATCCCAGCATTAATAAGCTCCTGATTTGACATTGCTACAGGGTCACCCATGAAAATGAGAAACTGTGTTAAGTATAGCCTTTTGGGGACTTGGGACACATTCTAAGCTATATACTCAGAGAGAGAGAGAGAGAGAGAAAGCAACTTCCATAAGAAAATACCAAAATTTGGGAAAAGAATCAGATAATATTGGAGAAAATAAAAATGGATACTTAAATCCTGAGAAAAGAAATGAAACCAACACAAACAACATAAAACCAAGCAGAATCCAACTAAAGAAGTGTAACTAAAAAACTGAGTGAAAGAACACTAAAAATGAGTACAGATATTTGCAAGAAGTTTTATTCAAAGAATCAAAACGTTCTTCTTCGAAGTTTGGGGTTCTAAGCATCAACAACCGCCCTTCACTTCTTCCCAAAATGACAAACTTCCAAATATAATCCCAAAGTTCCACATTAAGGTTTGTTCAGTTGAAGGAAGCTAGCCCATTCTTAACAAGTGTAACATTTAAAAATAATAATAAATAATAATATAAAAAAAATAAGGTCACTCTCAATATTGCATACCTTCTCAAAATCAGATAATTGCTTCTAGTAGAAATATAATAGGATTCTACCACCAAGAAGTTATTAATAGCAGAAAAAATCCAAGCTGCTAATCATAGAACTTAGGGCCTAAGAATTACGAATATGCAGAAAACAAATTAACAACAAAAACAAATAAGCCACGAATCATATTGGGGGCATTCAATAACAACAAACACGAGAAGCATAAAACACATGGACAACTTTTGTTTTCAAAATAATACACCATGCTCAACAAATTGTTCAGATGCATGAAGAGGGTCCTGATCTCACCTGACGCCATTTGAACATTGTCATCTGCCGTAGGATCACTAGCACCTGCTCCCATATCAAAGAGTTCAACTCTCTTATTACCAAGGCTGCTCACATACCTGCAGACCCACCAAATAGAAAAAAATTACAACTTGAAGGTGGGAAAACACAGAAGACAGAGACATCATAGATAATCACAAGAACATAAAATCAGTCACAGAATGCATTGCCACTATCAGCATCTTAAGTAACTCAGTGCTTCAAATCTAAACACGTTTTGAGGCGATGTCTAATAACAAATAATATTATGATCCAAATGCTTGGTTTCATGATTTTGCTTTTTAATGAATACTGCATTGGTGGTTGGCTAGGAAGGAAGACACTCATTTAACTACTGGTCTTGACAACAAATTTGAACACAAGATCTCACAAGAAAATCCATAATCTTAAAATCAGAACAGTGCCAATCAACAAATTTATGCAGGGAAATATATACAAATATATTCATATATATATATATATATCTGTCTATCATGTGGTCGAGAGCAAACAATATCCTTAAAAAATGCCAACATTTGATCTATAACCAATAACAAAAGAGATGAGGTCTATAAATTGTGACCTATAAGAAGAATAAATTAAACAAACGAGCTTACGTTTTTCTCAAGGCCACATATGAATTCAGCTCTTTGATCTGCAAAACAAAAATAGAAGAGATGCTCACATAACATAAACTCAGTACAATTTCAGACTGTGCATGTGCGTGTGTTTTGGGGGGAGGGGGGGTTTGTGGAATCCTCTGCACTGATAGACCATAGTCCAAGTGTCGCTTATTCAGGCACTTTTCTATTATGGGATCACAGGTCACTATTCTAGGGCAGCAACTCAGGCAGGCTCAACCCAAGCCCAGCCTGGCTTTTTTTAGGGCCTGGACAAATTTTTTAATCAACAAGCCAGGCTTGGGCTAAAATTTGCAAGTCCGAACCAGATTCAGGTTAGGCCTGGGCATAATTATGTGCAACTTGAGCCTGACTTGTTATATGCATATAATATATGATATACCTGGGCGGTTAAATACTAGTATCTCTCTTTTATCGGATCTCTTTCATGGGTCAAAATTATTCACCCCTTCCAAGTCGTCTCATCTATCAGATTTTGTCATTCTACCAATCTTTTTAACTAGAGTACAAACTAAGGTAAGTTCGCTACTTATTTAATGGAGAACTCACGAACTATGTTGGGCTTCCATGATTCACTTTTTTTTTTCCCACAAAAGATTAGCTTGCAATTGTATGATTGACCCTAATAGTACTACAATTGTTAAACTATTTGTATGACATAGATAACAAGTAAAAACTATGTTTTTAACAGACAATAACCTTTATGTTACATGGACTTGGGTGCGGATGCAAGTGATGGATGTGAGTGTGTATCTAGGGGTCAGATCCACCAAACCTCAAAATGAAGGATATATAGACTTGGCAAAACATATCCAAAAACTTGTTATATGCATATAATATATGATATACCTGGGCGGTTAAATACTAGTATTTCTCTTTTTTGGACTTCCAGGATTCACTTTTTTTTTTTTCACACAAAAAATTAGCTTGCAATTGTATGTATAATTAAGGAATTAAAGTATAACACGGGGTAGGGTTATCACACTAATAGTACTACAATTGTTAAACTATTTGTATAATATAGATAACAAGTAAAAACTATGTTTTTAACAGACAATAACCTTTATGTCAGGTGCGAATGCAAGTGATGGATGTGGGTGTATCTAGGGGTTAGATCCACCAAACCTCAAAATGAAGGATATGTGGACTTGGCAAAACATATCCAAAAAATAGATTTGGGTAAGTGGATAAGGTAAAAAGTATCAAAAGATTGAGAGGGGATTTGAAATTACAATGTCATGTGGGTTAAAAAAACAATAAATAAATAAAAATTGGACTGTGATTTCCAACATATTTGAGGTGTACCAGTACATTTGTGCCCACAATCCATGTGGAGTCCTGGATAATTAAATTGCATAATTTAGAAAACTAAAAGGCCTTCCACAAACTTACCATGGATTGCTTTTCATCATTGAGTTGCTTGTTAACTTCAGGAGGATTTCTGATCTCTTCATCTTTAATCTCACGATCAAACTCTTTGATTAATCTGAAAAGAATACCCGACATATATACTTCAAAGTAAATAGATCCACAAAACACGAATCTAATTAGTTGACATCCAAGAGGTAACGATTTACAAAAAAAAAATGGAAGTAAACGCATACCAATTTCTTCCTCTCCCAATTGGTAATATAAATTCATAACATAAGTCCAATAAAGATTGCAAGGCCATTCATTTCTACACTATTGAAATCTGTTAAGACTGAATTACACTAGATTATAAATGCATTATTATGGAACTCATTTGGAAAAACTTACAGCAGCTTAAAAAAAACTAGCTTTAAAAAAGTGAACTTTTCAGGTTTTTCCCTTTTTTTTTTTTGGGGGGGGGGGACACAATCCATAGGGGAGATTTTTTAGCTGAAAAGAAAAATAAGCTAAAAATCTAAAAAGTCTTGCCAAACAAGCTAACTTTTCAAATTACAACTATGTAACCATGGAATTTCAAACTTCAACCAAACAAAGCTGCAAATAATTTTTCCCAAATGGGCAGAAGCCCAAGTTGTCTTATTGGTACAAAAATTTAAGCTCAGAAATGATGATCAAGCAGTCACAAGAATCATTAAGAATTTTCAAAGAGGAGAGAATTTGATGGATTAATTTCCCATTACTCTGTTTTTCCCTTCTCTTGGGATCAAAATTTTTTAACTTCTGATCCAACAGGAGAACAAAATGTCCCTTATACATACTTCAAAACCAATGTATGCAAATACAAGTACAAATGAGGGAAAGGATGACACATGCCGCACCTTTTACATTCCCTCATTTTTGCCGTAAGTTCCTCCAGCTGTTTACTTTGTCTATTGGAGTCTTTAATCTTATCCAACTTCTGGAAGCCATTTCTGAATACACATGGGTAACAATCACCATCATAATTCATAATATATTTGGTCTTGTCACATGAATGGTTGTTAAATTACAAAAGACACATTGATATTAACTGGCCAAAAAGGAAAAGAATAGAGATGGAAAGAAACCCTATAAGAATGTCAATTAACTATTGGCATTTAAGTTTTTTTTTTTTTTTTTTTTTTGATAGGCAAAATCCAACATATAAGAATTATATTCTGAATTTCTGATATATGGCAACTAAACTGTGGCAGAAAAATGAAATTTGGAAACAAATATTGTAATTTGTATACAAGTTTTGGTAAAGGCAAACACAACTGTCTATTATGGAAAACTTCTTGAGATCAAGGAAACAAGAAGTTAAAAGGTGTTTGATAATCAAATTCAGCACTTAAAAATGAGTGAAAATCAATTAAGCCTGTTTAGTGACTACAATTATTATCGCTTAAAAGTTTAAGTGACTCTTAAAATGTAGGTTAAGTTAATTGTTAAGAAAGTTTTTAGTAGCAAGAAATTTACTTAATACTGACTAAATTTATAACTACTTATGCAGAAACATCAACATGCACCATTATGACTTTACCACCGCTGCCATTACCCCCACAACACCCACCACCGCCACTAATGCCACTGCCATCATCTCCACCACCATTGCCATCGTTCCCACAGGTACCACCATCATGTTGCCACTACCACAACCCTCTACCTCAACCACCACCACCACAAGTACCACTGCCACCACATCAACTATCCCTCTACCTCCACCACCATCGTCATTGGCACTATAGCCACTGTCATTGTCGCTGCCACTGCTGCAGCCGCCACCTCTGCCTCCACCACCTCACCACCACAATACAAAAATTAAGAAAGAACATTTGAAAATAATAAATTTCATTCATCTTGTACAGATCAAACTACTTGTTTTAGTTCAATATTTAAATTTTTATCATATAATATTTCAATTTAAAAAATTCATTACTCAGTTTTCAATTTTATCAAACACCACCTTAGTCATTTAACTTGTAATCATAACATTCATCATGTTGCGAACATTGAAGGACCATCTCTATATCACTCCAGATCAATTTCGAGATTCATGACATTTGTGCTAATGATTAAACCTAATGCAGAATAATTGATAAGGTTAAAACTACAATTAAAAATATGGTTGATCTTTCCCTGCATTTTTTAGATAGCTTGAAACAGGTGAAACTGTAAACAATTGCCCATGGCACAAAATATACAATATGGTTAATCAAATATAGTTGTATCCAGAGAAGGCAGGTGAAAATATCAAAATAAAAATGGAGACACAAATAGAATCTTAAAAGTGGAGGTAAAGTCTAAAATGACAAAGTTGTTACATGAAGAATGCCTCCTTCTAAGACCATCTAAGCAGCCACCTTCTTTTGCCAATCTCTTGCATAAAAACCTTAGTTGCATGAAGTGGAAGCGGGAGCGGGAGTGGGAGCGGGGCCAAGGGCGGGAGCGGGAGTGGGAGCGGAGGCAGGGGCGGGAGCGGAGGAGCGAGGGCATCTAGAAGTTTCTTAGGTTGGGAGTGCTTATGGGAGCATGTATATATTTATTTATTAAATATATAAAAATATTCTAACAATTATTTTTTGCTACTTAGATGTAATATATGTGTTATAATATGAATAAATATTTAAAGATTCATGTCAACTACAAATTGTCTTTATTAAGAATAAATAAATATTATATAAATAAAAATTACTAGAATAAGTTTGAGTTATTTTTCTTTTGTTTCTATGAGATTTATATGTTTGAGAAGTTTCTATCTCAGTTGGGAGCGTATTTCTTTATCAATGGGAGTGGGTTTCTTACAAGTTTCTTACTTGGGAACACGGAATCGCATTTCTTAGTAAGAAACGCCACTCAAGTGGAAGGTTCCTGCTACGAAGATAAAAAGAACATTGTGGTCGGTCCTCATCGACCTAATCTCACCATTTTCTTGACCTATTATTCTGTTTTTGCCATCAATCTTCATAAAAATACCAATTGCATTGTTATGATATTTTTAGAAGTACTTCCATTGCTATAATCAAAACATATCAAAGAAGTAAATGTAGCATCTTAATATTGGTGCCAAAGCTGAAGGTCAAGCAACATTAATGAGGGAAATGGACGTGTCCCCATCTAACTTCAAGTCTTTAACATAGAACTCCACACAAATTATACCTTACTGAGTCAATGACATTCCACCACTTCCTCGTCCCTTAAATTAGTCTAGTCTAGTCCCACAGCTGCTAAAGCTTATGAATAAAAAGTTTTAAGTTTTTCCATGATAACAAGTAAAACTGCAGTCAAAGCATCATGCCTCTAAAATTTGAGTGCAAATTACTCTCTCACTTGTCCATATATTTTCTCAATTAATCATTACAAAGTGACCTCAAATAATTGATAAGTTTCCCCCCAAATGATATCCATGACAAGTTCCGAGCGAGGACATAGTTTTTTTTTTTTTTTTTCGGGGTAAGATGAACAACAATAAAAACTAATGAGGATCGTAGATAATTGGGATCCTCTCGTGCTCTAAATCCAACCTTGGAAAAGCCCCAAACGAGATCCACGCACATCCTTTTAGCCTCAAAAGAAAAGTTGTAATCCTAAATTACTAACAACCTAACAGCATCAGTTGTAACACTCCAGTAATAACATGGCAGTGAATTGTTACTTAAGATCTAGAATGCAACCCTTGTCAAGTATAAACACACTGTTAGGGAAACACTGAAATCACTTCTTCAAGGAGGTGGCTCCATCTCAGCAAACTTAATAATTTTAGAATGGTCAAATTATTCTAGGATATTAATTGAATCCAACAGAGTGCAATGCATATATGATTAGGCTCCCAAGAGAAAACCCACCACAACAACAATACACACCTCAACAATTCCATTCCAAGAATAATGTAGATGTGTCCTATACACAACTGTCCTGAGTTGACTTGTGAACAATGAAAATGAATCCAGAGCAGAGCATGAGCATAAAAGAGGTAAACATAATGCACACTTGGTTGGTTGCTGAGGAAAATGAAGAGGAGGGGGTAGAAGAAACTTTTACTAATTTGGTGTCTAAGACACAACCCAAATAAAAATAAAAAAATAAAAAATAAAAAAGGTCCCTTATTACAAATTCAACTCCGTCGGAAACCAAACAGGGAATTCAACCAGTTGCCTTATCTTATCAAACAAGGACAGTTTCAGATCTCCATAATAGAAAAAACACAAATCAACAATTAGTTCCTTTCTGAAAGTATTATTTATCGATTGTTCTATCAGAAACATACATACATATATATATATATATAGTATATATATCGGCGTGCGTTGTTGTATATAGCAATAGCAATAGCAATAGCAATACATAACATATTATTATAGAGAATGAGAGATAGACAAGAGGAGAGACATACGCGAGAGCTCGGAAATTGTCATGAATTTCACCGTGTATCTGCTCCAACTGAGGGCCCATTTGCAACTCCATGTTCGCCATTTTCAATCCCTCTTTTTCTGTCGCCGATCACAACCCAAAAAAACCAAATATAAAAATCAAATAACTACTCCCCAAAAGCAGCCCCCCTCCCTACGCTACTACCTGAACTAACTTCACCGCATTTTCTTTTTCAAATAAAGTTTCTCAATATTCACCTCAAATCAAATCAACCCCCGTCCTTGAATATATATATATATATATATACATGGATCTTTCTAATATTGATTTCACGCATAAGGAAAGCAACATATAAAAGGTGTAAACGTAAACAGAGATTAGGGTTCTTAATACAAAAGGAAAATGGAGTGTGTGATAATGACGAAACAGCGAGAGAGAGAGAGAGAGAGAGAATTGCTGTTGGTTGATAATCAAAAACAACGATGATGACAGGCTTGCCTAAACTAATATTGAAATTCTTTATAAAAAAATGCCTATGGCAAAATTATATACGCACTAGCGGGCTGCACACACGCGATGCGTGAGTAATTTTTTTTAAAATTATAATTTTAGAATATTTATAATAAAAAATAAATAATAACATTAAAATAGATTTGATGTACATAAAGAAAATTAAAAATTACAAAATCAGTCAAAAAAAATTATTAAACAGATTTATTCATCTTATTCTTTGAAGACTCATTATGATTTGTCTAGTAATTAACTTCACCATATAAATTTACTCTAACACCTATTTATAAAAAAAGTTAAAATAAATAACTATCGAATTCTGGTCCAAATAAAAAATAATAAATAATTAAAGATAAATTATATAAATAGTCTCTATAGTTTACACGATATCTCAATTTGACCCCTATTATAACAATCACATTTTATACTATTCAAACAATACCTTTAAAAAAAAAAAATTCACAATTTTTCCAGACAGGGTAGGAGTTTGGTTTACTTAATTAACAAGGCCACTATGAGGCCCACCTAGTGCTTGAAACAACATTCGTTTATAGGGTTTATCCACAAAGTAGTTCGTATAAAATTGTTGATTAATTTGATCAAATTTATCTTAGAAAATTGAACGGATAATATAATTTTTAATATAGGTAATTTATTTATTTATTTTATAAGTTAAATGTAATCCAATTATATGTATTTCATTGTTCAATAAACTTAATTTTTGTATATGGGTACTATTTTCAGTAGATTTTACAGAATAAACTATTTGTATCATTCAATCTAGATTGTAAAATGAAAAGTTTAACCCAAACCTAATACTCTTACAATACTTATAGTAGCCAAAAAAAAAAAGAATATTTACAATAAAAAAAGATTTGATTTACATAAAAAAAAAATTACAGTTACAGTGAAATAGATTTGATATAAACTCAGAAAAGTAATAGTCTATTTTTCTCCCCAAGGAAACTAATAACAAAATGAAACTTTTTATATTGTTTTTTTAATGAAGAAAATAAAATGTATACTTAACATTGTACACACAAAACATCAAAATATAAACCCATACTCTTGGAACACATACAATAAAAAAAGATTTGATATATACAAATAAAAATAATGATAAACTATTAATATAAAAAATAAAATAATAAAAATGAAAAAAAACTGTTTTTTTTAAATAAATTTTAATTTTAATACTATTATTTAAAAAAAAAACAACAGATTTTAAGATTGCTGAATTGTTTTTTTAAAAACACACACATAAAATTAAGAAAAAAAAAATCACAATTTTTGCTACTAAAAAAAAACAAAAAAATCATAAAATAAAATGTATACTTAACAGTGTACACACAAAATATCAAAATACAAACCCATACTCTTGGAACACTTTACAATAAAAAAAAAAAAGATTTGATATATACAAATAAAAATAATGATAAACTATTAATATAAAAAATAAAATAATAAAAATGAAAAAAAAAACTAATTTTTTTAAAAATAAATTTTAATACTGTTATTTTAAAAAAACAACAAATTTTAAGAATGCTGAATTATTTTTTTAAAAACACACACATAAAATTAAGAAAACAAAAAACCAAAAAAAAATTCACAATTTTTGCTACTAAAAAAAAAACCAAAAAATCACAATTTTTGAACTAAAAGAAAACTCAACTATATATACAGAATATTTTTATATAATAAACGTGATATTTTCTTAGTTGATGATTGAAATTAATATTATTTATAATATTAAGTTTGATCAAATCATATCAAAATTATATTTATCATAACCATCTATTTGCAATCCTACCACACCAGATCAAATCTCTTTTCTTTTCTTCCTCAGGAACTCCATTGCAACTGGTGTAACTGGTGCAAAGATGAAAAGATGAACCCAGAAAGTCTTTTTTTTAAAACACACACATAAAATTAAGAAAACAAAAAATCAAAAAAAAAAAATCACAATTTTTGCTACTAAAAAAAAAAACCCTCCAAAAATCACAATTTCTGAACTAAAAGAAAACTCAATTGATGCTCTGGATGTGTTGGCTCTAAGTGTTCTATTATTATGACAATATTGATGCTCTGTATTGCATTGTGCTAATATTGCCATTATCAACATTACCTAACAATTAATCTTTGAAAATGGATTAAACCTTCATACAGGGAAGAGAACTACAACAAACATACAGTTGAGATACAAAATACAATGAAGATACACATTGATGCAAAAGAGAACTTACCAAATAGAAACATACAACCAATCATATATCCACAAAATGCTTTCAGAAAAGAACTTTAGGCAAAATACAGTGAAGTTGTTAAAAAATTTTCAGTGAAATCAAAACAAAATGCAAGATGCAATGGAGATGTTGTAACTGCTTGAGGACGGGAGACGTGGGGAGTGGGAAGTGAGAAAATGGAATTGGTTATTTTAATTTACCATTTTACCCTTAATTAAATCTGATGTAAGTGTAAGAAATGAAGGTCATTTTAGGGAAAATTAGAAAAAGTTTATGAGAAGTGGCTTCATGACACCAAAATCACTGTTCTCTTTTAATAATACAATAGATAAATAAATAAAATTCAGACCCAACTGCTTTCCCACCCGAATAATGTTTTATCACCAAACTTTATCAGTTTGAATTGCCCTAATGAATATCGAGTAAAATTTAATAAATGTAGCGGTGTTGCTTCCTATCCTTTCTCCCGACTCTAATAAAATACAATTATTTAGAATTTCTCAAAAGAGTAAGATTAATAAATTTGAAAGTACAAATAAAACATCTCATAAAGTTCAAGTCGGAATAACATATCCTCACTTGATTATGATTTCGTTTGAGATGTGGATTGATTTTTTTAATTATTTTAGAAAAAAAGTTTTATCTAGGATAAATTTTTTAACTTGTTTTTACTTTTGTAAGAGAAAAAAATAAAATTATTATAATTTTTGATGTGATATTTTGTCTTATTAATTTTTTAGTCTATTTTATGTTTTTGTGACTATTTTAACCTAATAACCCTTTCAACTCACATGCCACACAAGGACTATATACTAAATGTTTTATTCTTTATATATATTCTTTTATTATTTGATGATGTAACCTAACGTTTATAATATTTTTATTCTTCTATTTAATGATTTTTTAGATGTGGCACATTTTTTATCATCTTTTATTCTACAATTTTGCTCAAATCAATGTGAAAGGATTATTTGTCATTTTCAATTATAAAATTGTATTATTAAAATTAATATTAAACATATATATTGTAAAAATTAACAAAATATAAGATAAGAGCCGAGTTATAATAAGATGGGCTTGAGTTGGGAAGAAGGGAGATGTATTGTTGGTATGGTTGAGTATGATGGTAATATTCATTGAAGAATGGTTTGGAGCATATTATCATGTACTGACTCATTAAATATGCGAGTTTTATACTGAGCATCTTACAAGCTTATTAGTTTATGAGCGGCAAGACATATAGGGTAAATCTCTATTGCATCACCTGGGTTGATCCTTAGACTTAATGTACGGGATACACAATATCACTTGTGAAGCTGGACTTCTCAAGAGAATGATAAGCGCACAATCCGTAATAGTACGATGAGAATGAGATAAGATAACTCCAATTTATAACTACTATGTTACTACTATGGTAAGAATGCTAAAAGGTCAATAATTAATGTAAGTTTGATTTATTTATATTTTTAATGTTCAATTATTCTTATGATTTGTTTAATAATTTATAATAACTTTTTAATTACAAACCTAACACCTTAAACAATGCCTTTATTGTGTGTTTTACCCCCCAAAATGACTTTTTAACTTTCGTTACAAAACAACCCCAGGAGGTAGAGGTTGGAAAACACCAATGATTGAGCCCTTTGTCTCCGACTGCGTTTTAGTTAAAAAATTAAAATTTTCTTTCTTTCTCTCTATATTTTTACATTTTTTTAATAAAAAATTAAAATGCCATTTTCAAATATTTCAATTTCTTTTACATTATATTTTAACTAAAAATAAAATAAAAAAATCAGTAAAAATATCCAATTTTCAAACCAACTATCAAGAAACTATCTACATATCTATCCATAACTGGGACATATTCATCGTTTCGTCCACATGGCTAGGCTTCGTTTCAAGGTATTATGTAACGAAGTGTTACAAGTCAAATGGATAAGGTTCACAATCTTGTCTGAAATAATCGGCAAAGGACATGAGTCAGAATGACTCTCAAGTTGAGGGTTGGTTTGGCAAGTGAGTTGATTTTTTAGTTTTTTTAGTTATTTTAGGCTGGGCTAAAAAGCTTAGTTTGTGAAGGATTTTTTGACTTTTTAAATTTTTTTTGTGAGAGAATAGTGTAATGATTATGGGTTAGATGTGATATTTTGTTTGTTGTGACTAAAATAACTTATTTTGTCTTTTGTGGCTCTTTTAGCCACAAATTATCTTCCCAAACGGACCGTGAGTAAGTTATGAAAGTTATGTCTTAATCCAATTAGGAGAGTGAATCCTAGTGGTTACTAGTAGAGAGTAATTATTGTTCAATTTATCTTTGAGAGATTCGATTGACAAGCAACCGGGTTAGTTATTGTGTTGATTTTATTTAGTGCACGTCTCTTTGATTTTATTTTTAAAATTACAGAAAACATATTAGAGTTGGTTGTATGGTCAGATTTTAACATATATTATCTATTATTATTATTATTATTTATTTATTATTGTTGTTATATGATATGAATGAATGAATTTATGTACAGCTGCCAAGCTGAATGAGGGGCAATGCGCTCCACAACGGTCATCAGAAAGAAAGGAAGACGAAATACAAATGAAAACAGGTGGATTTGATTTGAGGACGCTAAACCTATAATCTTACAATAATTAGTAAGCGAAATGGTATAGTCACCCCGTACATAAAATAATTTCCCAAATTTGAGATCATCCCTTTCTAATTTACAGGCCAACTCGAACTTTTTCGAGTCTCA